TACCTTTTTTCACTCATTACTTCTATATGCATGTTGTTTGGAGCTACAAGCATTCATTTACATGTTGCTTGAAATGTTGAAGTGACAGCATGATGTGGTCGCCAGCTTACGTCCAAATATTGAAATGTTTATATATTATTTACACAGACTCAACATTTACAAAAAAAAATATTTACAAATACTAGTATCAGCTCTTCTATTCTATTCGGGCGGACATAATTTTTTTATTCATAGCCTGTTAAGTCTCTTTAAACGACAATTTAATGTCGTTTAATGATGAGCAACACATACACAGACTCACACACACTCACATATACAAACGCACACTCACATTCAAGAAGAAGAAGAGCAACAACAACAAAGCAAGATTACATTCTTGAAAGTTAAAAACCGTTTATGAGCCACAGATAAGTCAAGAAAAACATCTTCCCGGTTAGAGCAATAAGAAAGAGTAATGGAATATTAAGGAGAGAGCAGACATTATTTCTCTGAAGGCTTAAAGTTTAACTGAATACTTAGTACCTGGATACTTAACTGAGGCTCAGTTTTCCAAGCTCAGTTAGGTAAGAATTGTTAGGTAAATAACCACTGATGAATTTATAATGACTTCAAGAACTGAGAAGATGAGACTCTAAATTGAAAGATGGAAAATTAAGGCAATATCTCGAAGATTTTAATGTTACAAAGACAGAAGAACCAGACAAAATCTCACCATTGGTTATATTGACGACAGTTGAGATTATGATCTATCGACTATATGTGAAGTGCAATGCATTATACAGAGACTGTAGCCGCTTTAGCTGGAAGAGAGCAAGAAAGGTGACAGATGGCATTGAAACGCAGAGCAGTATAGATAAACACGCATAACGTTAACACGCAGTGGAGTTAGGCAGCTGCACATTCAAAATAAGGGAGCGAGTAATCTGGAGGCTGTGTGTGAACTTGTTAAATACTATATATTCCTGATACACACACACACACACACACACACACACACACACACACACACACACACACACACACACACACACACACACACACACACACACACACACACACACACACACACACACACACACACACACACACACACACACACACACACACACACACACACACACACTCACACATACACACACACACACACACAGGGGCCTGGTAGCCTGGTGGATAGCGCGCAGGACTCGTAATTCTGTGGCGCGGGTTCGATTCCCGCACCAGGCAGAAACAAATGGGCAAAGATTCTTTCACCCTGAATGCCCCGGTTACCAAGCAGTAAATAGGTATCCTGGGAGCTAGTCAGCTGTCATGGGCTGCTTCCTGGTGTGTGTGTGTGTGTGTATGTGTGTGTGTGTGTGTGTGTGTGTGTGTGTGTGGTGTGTGGGGAGAAAGAAAAGTAGTTAGTAAATAGTTGATTGACAGTTGACAGGCGGGCCGAAAGAGCAAAGCTCAACCCCCGCAAACACAACTAGGTGAATACAACTAGGTGAATACACACACATACACACACACCTACTGAACTATCCTGAGCCTACTGGGCTTTCCTGAGCCTACTGGGCTCAGGAATCCCAGTAGGGATTCACAGACAGGTTCACACACAGGTTCCAGGTTCACACACAGCCTCCAGATTACTCGCTCCCATATTTTGAATGTGCAGCTGCCTAACTCCACTGCGTGTTAATGTTATGCGTGATTCCTGAGCCTACGGGACACACACACACACACACACACAGTTGACAGTTGTGTGTGTGTGTGTGTGTGTGTGTGTGTGTGTGTGTGTGTGTGTGTGTGTGTGTGTGTGTGTGTGTGTGTGTGTTTACTAGTTGTTTACTAGTTGTGTTTTTACGGGGGTTGAGCTTTGCTCTTTCGGCCCGCCTCTCAACTGTCAATCAACTGTTTACTAACTACTACTTTTTTTTTTCCCCCACACCACACACACACACACACCCCAGGAAGCAGCCCGTGACAGCTGACTAACTCCCAGGTACCTATTTACTGCTAGGTAACAGGGGCATTCAGGGTGAAAGAAACTTTGCCCATTTGTTTCTGCCTCGTGCGGGAATCGAACCCGCGCCACAGAATTACGAATCCTGCGCGCTATCCACCAGGCTACGAGGCCCCCTGTGTGTGTGTGTGTGTGTGTGTGTGTGTGTGTGTGTGTGTGTGTGTGTGTGTGTGTGTGTGTGTGTGTGTGTGTGTGTGCGTGTGTGTGTGTGTGTGTGTGTGTGTGTCTGTGTGTGTGTCTGTGTGTGTGTGTGTTTGCATGCGTTTATTTACGTGTGTGTTCGTGTATTTATTACGTTGGGGACCATATCATATTAAATGAATTTCATTAATTGCTGGGACTAGATGCTCAAGGAGGCCTCCAGGACACAACTTGTGGGGCAGAAAACAGCAAACATGACTTAACTTGACTTCCATGATTAATGTCAAGAGGCAGCGACGTTACAGACTCGCTGTGATGATTTAATGGCAAAGTTACGCAATGAACACTTTAATTATCAATTTTACATTGTCACTACAGGTTTTAAACTACAAATCTCGTTTTTACAAGTGCTTCAAGTTGTAAATAATGTTTGTATTATTTATAATAAAATATTATTTGTATTATTTATAATAAAATAATATATATATTATTTATAATAAAATAATATATGTATTATTTATAATACAAATATTAGCACAATGAACATGCATATTTCGAGAATAAATCAGAAACGTTGACATATATGAATACTACCAACATGATAGCCATTCTTAAATATGCATCTCTTCATTAAAAACAAACAGGAAATGTCAAACAAAATTAGAGGGTTTTGACGAACCAGTGCCATAACTGAGAAACTTGAAATACCGGAATAATTATTTTGTATTTTAATTCACAATAGTAGAAACGTGGCCAAAGACATACTTCGAATAATACACAGAGCATATATATATTAAGGAATAAGAGAGCATATGAATGGAAACTAGAGACCAAATTGACTGGTACATATGCAAGGAAGTAATTTAGTGTGAGTGTAGTCGTGAGAAAAATTAAATAGATTAAAAACAATTGGAGATAACGCCCTTCGCAGGTAATACAACAGGGATGACAGAAGACAGGGAAATCAGCAGTCAAGGTGGTTGATATCTCAAATGCCGGGGTCCAGCACCTAATACTGGGCCCTTCATTACCAACTCAGTAAGTACGAAGACTCACATGCAAAGCTCTAATTGTCCACCAGCCCCCTTCCCCCACAAATAATGACTCAACACAACAAAAACCATCTACTATGAAGTTTCCAATACGAGGAATGTCCCGAGCACCTTAGATTTGCTATTTATTTCGTTAAGTGAACATCTATACAGAACTCTCCTGGCTAGAAGCTTTCGTTCAACTCTGACATCCGCTTGTATGTCCTCTCTCTCGGTCTGCCAGTCTCTAATGATTCGTTGTTGTTTTTTATTTTATATTCTTTTGGTCACGATAAAATTGCCATCTTTGCTTTGGATAGTCTGATGGTTCGCTTGACTGATTGGCCGAGGAGATGAGTAACATCGCCTCATTAAGAGAGCTACATTGATAAAGAGTTGGTCTACGCCTGAGTCTCACGCTAGCTGGGCTACGAATGTCTCGAACACCAGAAATAAAGACACGCTGAGTGGGGTTCACCTATATTTTTGAGGTTTTTATTCTTAAAGAAATATTTCATTGGCGTATAATATAATGCAAAGAAATAATCTTGGCGGCAAGGGATCAGCAAAGGTACAGGATCCTGTTATTTCTCTCGATGAAAAATCACCTCTGAAAAATAGTGACGGATGCAAGATAAAAATTATTAGTTAATCTTACAGTGAATCATAAATGGGACATTTGTTTTGGAAATGGCAGTAGTGAAGATGTGCCTAGCATAATTTTTCTTACCAATTTTTTTTAGGGAAAAAATAATGTTTGCATAATGTTTGATAATGTTTGCGCTTACCTGAACAACTCATAAGAATGAAAAAGGAAATTGCAAACGCGCTTTCATCTTCGTATGATTGAATATTATATGTTTGTGATTGTGTGCTCGCATATGTATATATGTGAGAATATGAGCGGGCAGGCGCGCGTGAGTGTGGGTGTGTGCGTGTACTCGCCTATTTGTACTCACCTGATTGTGCTTGCGGGGGTTGAGCTCTGGCTCTTTGGTCCCGCCTCTCTTCCGTTAATCAACAGGTGTACCAGTTCCAAAGCCTTTTGGGCTCTATCATATCTACACTTGAAACTGTGTATGGAGTCAGCCTCCACCCCATCACTTCCTAATGCGTTCCATTAGTCAACTACTCTGACACTAAAAAAGTTCCTTCTAATATTTACCGGCACATTTGGGCACTCAGTTTCCACCTGTGTCCTCTAGTGCGTGTGCCCCTTAAGTTAAACAGCCTGTCTTTGTCTACCCTTCAATTCCCTTGAGAATCTTGAATGTGGTGATCATGTCCCCATGATCATGTCGTTAACGTATATTAGAAATAGAATTAGTCCCAGCACCGATCCTTGAGGTACTCCACTCGTTAATGTTCGGCAGTCCGACTTCTCGCGCATTACCTTAACTCTTTCATGTTAGGTAGTGTGTGTGTGTGTGTGTGTGTGTGTGTGTGTGTGTGTGTGTGTGTGTGTGTGTGTGTGTGTTTGTTTGTATGTATGTGTGTGTGTATACATATATTTACTGATAACGTATATTGCATTGAGATGTAATCATAGGCACGTAATCCTCCATGTTGCATTATCTCACAGTATCATTTCTAAGTAACATTATTCCCTTAAAGCAAAGCATTTCATCATACGAACACCTCAAAGCATCATCCATTTCACAAAATGCAGTACCCCATTGCAAAACCTCATCGTACTGCAGAATCTTACCGTATCACATCGACTTGGATACAATAACATACAACGCCTTGTTATTTTATCAAACACAACTCTTATCCGGTTAATTGTTCCTTACAGCACCTCCTCTCTTCTGTTTTGCAGGGGGCATGAAGCACTCTGGGAGGAGGAACCTGGGTCGTCACCGCCGGAAGGACGCCCTGCTGGCGGCTGAGGTGCCCTACTTCGACCCCACCTCCCCCACCCATATTAAGGCCCAGCTGGGCTCCAGCGCATACCTGCCATGCAAGATAAAAAATCTCGGGAATAAGTCGGTGAGTATCTCGTATTGTGAATAAATATATACAGAAAAAAATTATGAACTCTATCTATCTATCTATCTATTTATCTACCTATATATATATATATATATATATATATATATATATATATATATATATATATATATATATATATATATATATATATATATATATATATATATATATATATATATATATATACTCCATTGAAGTATATGCATTGCATATATATGCTAAGAAGCTTGAATGATCCACCAAGCTAATATGCAACTGAAAACTTCTCACCCCTGTAGGATTCGAACCCAGACAGTCATGGCTCTATGCACCTAAGCGTATCCAATACTATACCGGTAGACCACACTGACTGTACAAAAATATTGCAAGTCATTAGACCCTTAACCCAACCCCTGACAGCATTCGGTGGTCAATTTCAGTTGCATATTGGCTTGCTTGGGGACCATTAATGCTTCTTTGCATTTGTGTTATGGTGTTGGAAATATTGACACGTGCTCCTGGTGTTATTGTGAAATTTTTCGAGAGGGAGACAGACGGGGAGAGAGAGAGAGAGAGAGAGAGAGAGAGAGAGAGAGAGAGAGAGAGAGAGAGAGAGAGAGAGAGAGAGAGAGAGAGAGAGAGAGAGAGAGAGAGAGAGAGAATAACACGAGGCAGATGGACACTAGAAAGAGGGACAAGCAGAAAATCACAGAGTGAAACAGACTCCCTGGGGGAAGGGGCCAATGTTAACCAAAGCATCGCCAGGTATCCGGGTATCGAACATAGTACTCTGTAAATACACATATAAATATTGTTTTAAATTCAGGAATTTTAACACACCTACAAATGTTCAATTTATCAGCAAATACAAATTTAATGTATGAAATACCTTAAAACTTTTTTATCTAAAGCAGACTCCTATAAGTCGTCACTAGTGAACCGAGTCCTCAAACTATAAAGTTATCTTATAGGTATCATTATAGTTATCATTAGCCAATTCTCTTACACTTGATAAAACCAACCATAACAATTGACATCTTTAAACCACCTTAACAATAACAAAACATAAGCAAGACCTGTAAACACGCCACTCGAGAACCTGTAAATTATACCTTATGTTGTAGAAATTCTTTTAGTCTTCTCCATCTCATTTTCTTTTATAATATCGGCCGCATCACAACGGACGTTGCGTCTTGAGAACAGCTGGTTTTTACATTTGCATAATATCGTGGTCGGTGCCATTTTCTTCAGTGGCAACAATATGTATGTTCAGTGCTCAATAGTTTATGCTCAGGGTTTCACGCTCAGTTCTCGATGCTACATATTCTGTGTTCAGTAGGTTGTGCTCAGAGCAGTGTTCTTTGTGTTGATTGTTTATGCTCAATACTCATCAGTGTGTGCTCAGATTTATCTTCTTCATGCACCGGGTTCAGTAGCTTATATTTAATATTCAGGAGTTTGTGCAGTGCTCAGTATTTAATGATCAGTGATTTCTTACAAATGATCAAAGCTTTGTAGTCAGATATTCAGTTATCGGTAAATGATGATCTGTTGTCAATAGTTTATGTTCACTGATCTTTGCTATATGCTCACTTTTTGATACTTTATACTCGCTGTTCGGAATATTGTGCTATATGCTCGATAATTTATGCGAGTTTGTAATTTTTAGTTTGTAAATACAGCTAATCCGTTGCAAACAGTCAATTCTTACTGTAATTTGTTCCAAAAATAAGCAAATCTTATTGATTTAGTCATATAGTATCTCTGAAGCTAGAAATGAAGGAAAATTTTCCGAAGTAGCGATTTATAGCAAACGCTTGTTCCTGGTGAAATTCTTAAATGAGAAAGATCTCCACAGCTCCTAAGTAACTGGATAGTTTTCTAAAAAAATAAATCAAAAGGGATTAATCAGCAGACTTTTATGAAGCACCCTATAAAATATTCTATCAGTAATATTTACGTCTATAACATATATTATCTCGAAATCGAAACTTAGAAAAATTTTGCAGTCATCTTTTTTATCAGGTCTGAAGTAATTTTTGTTGTTAAAATAAATCTGAATATTATTTAGTAAATAACTCTCATCAAGAAGGATTTTTTTGTACTTAAAGTAACAACATAAGTTCATACATTCTCCCAATAATTGGTTTGGTACGGTGTTGGGATTAAGGCCGACCAATTATCAGATAGTTATCGAGACCACACTATAGATTAGACTCCAATCAGTAACTAACTTAATACCCAATGTCCTGGGTAAAATGGCAGGAAGAATCTTAGCTGTCGCCAAGTATCATGCATGCTAAGTGAGAAGCAAGAAATTCATCTTCCCTAACAGACAGTGGTTACAGAGTCATATTACGTGATGGTACTGAATCAATTGATGCTAGTCCTTCTTGCTCATATTTTGAATCATCATTCTTCAATAACTGTTGACCAGCTTGATAACTTGTTTGTAGGGATCTCGTACCACCAGTCCAAAGCTAATTCTTGTACTTATCTTAAATAGTTTCTTCAATTGTCAAAGAGGATCTTGTTTCCACTGGTTAATATTCTTTCACAGATCTACCAGATTCTTGATTACCCAGTTGCTGTAGATTTTAACTAATACCTAAACAAGAGTTGATTACCTGGTTCTTTTCGGATACATTATTTAGAGCATGCGCTTTCCGTATTTTTTGTTTATACCATTTAAATGTTCATATCTTGCATCCCAATTTCATACCAGATTTTTTCCACTAGGAATCTGTTCTACTAATATTGAACTTTCCAGACGCTGAGGGAGATGTGATCGCAGTAAATGTTCCAACTACAGATCTGTCGCATTATTATTTTATACTATAATGTTACTATTGGTTTTCTTATTAATAGTGTTGTATTAATATTTATTACATAGTTTTGATCAAATAAAAAGCATGTTATTATTAATTTAAACTGTTTACTCTCATTAATATTATTATTATAATTTTATTCTGTTATACTGTTCTTAAATATCTCTATATACTCTCCAGGCCTAAAATTGATATTTTTTACAATTGCAAAAGGATCGTAAATTTTTATTTCCTTCGTGAAGCTCTGTAACTTTTCTCGTTTTCGGGTTTCAGAAATGCAATATTTCTTCCGCACTCGTAAATCTGAAATTTATTGTTTTCTTAAAACATGTAACAATGACGAATATTGTTTAGACTTGATTAAATCAGATATAAAATCTATAACATTTCCTCATAAGAATAATTTTCAACATTCTTCTCCTTCTACAGGCAACTAAATGATTTTTAAAATATTTACAGATCTAATTCAGGTGTATTTTTTCCTAATATATTGGTCCCCAAAATCCTTCTAGCGTTCCTTACTATCCACTGTTCAACGTCCCCTTTTATGTTCGCCCAAGCCTCTCCTCACACGGTTCCTCGTTATGTCCTCTCCAGTGCCCCACCTGCGCTTTCTTATGCTCGCAATCTTGCGCTTGTTCAAGCGTCCACTCCAGCTCTTCCTCATGCATTCCCTTTTGTGATTCCTCATGAATTCCTACTGAGCTTCAGCATGCTTTCTCTTCTGCGCTTGGTAATGCGTTACTTCACTAGCTTCTTAATGCGTTCCTTCTTGTTATTCCTCCTGAGTTTACCTCTGCTCCTCTTGTTCTTCTCATTTATTTGCTTATTATCTTATCATTATTTTTTTTTCTCTCTATGCCTTAACGTAATTTTTCTTCACCCATTCGTCTATCACAACAGCGAGTACAAGACTCCCTTAGGGCCTCCACACAGCGGATATCAGAACCATCACATTACGTATAATTTGTTTTCCTATTTGAAGAGTTCACTTACATATAATTATTTTTGTTTCACAAGAGGAAGATGAAGATAGAAATGAGAGTAATTCTACCCAGAACACCCCAAAAATAGCAGAAAACGTGTTATTTGTATAAAATGACTACGACATAACCATTATTCGTAGTACGAGATTAGCTTAATATTTGTCAAGCAATTTAATACACAATAAAACTATTATTTTCTTCATGACTAGCAAAATTAAATATTTTCATTGTTATGACTGTTATTATTAGGTTCATTGTTTTTGTTTTTTACTTGAGTTGTTGCCGCGTAAGGCCTATATAGTAGGCTCATTATCTATGATGTTAATGAGATCGATTATTAATTAGTGATATTTACATTGCGAGTTAAATTTTCACTCTTTTATTTGTATTGTATTATAACAAAATTAAATCTACAAATATCACCAATAATAATTGCAATGAAAAAAATTATGTTATTAGAGTTAATATTACAAAGTAAAATTAATAAAAATAACAATAATAATAATAATAATAATAATAATATTATTATTATTATTATTATTATTAAATATATAAGCATGCATGATACAAAATTAGTGAATGCAGTTTAAGCTTTGAATATTAAGAAACAATAAATCAATAAGGCAAGACATTTTTTAAAGCACACAACACATGAGAAAATAATGCCATTTGTATACATATTGATAAATTGGAACACCGTATATAATTGCATTATATAAAAACTCAGGGAGGAACCTGGGATTAACATCTTCATAATGCAAGAACACATGAGGTGACAATTCAAATATTCTTGAGTATCACTAAGTTAGTTGTACGTTTTCTTAAGTGCTTCAAAAACACACGGTTGTACTGAATTAAAGCGATTTAATTTTTTCCAGAATTGACTGAATTTCAGTCATTAAAATACTGACAGATTCACAGTTAACAGTGAATGATTCTCTTCTAATGCTTGAATTATGTTCAGGCCTAAAATATATATATTTGAAACTAAGAACAGGGTTTTGCGGGTTGAATTTAATTCTAATTCAGAACACTATCATCTTATGGAGATTAGAGGAAGAGTCTCAGAATCACTCTTTCCAGTGAGCTTTTGGTAATACAGGGGACAAAAGTTGGCGCCTGTCTCCTGGGATGTGTACTCGTGTACTCCCTTGAGATAAATGGGTTAGAGCCAATTTGCGTTGCACCATGAATCTCCATAAAGGAGAAATTGAGCAGGGCCTCATGCACTCCACTAAATTTCCTTAGCTTCTAATTTTCAGGATGGAATGCTGATGCATGGTTAGGAATATTGAACCACCTCTAATAAATGTTATGTGATAGGTGCGCATTGCTTTTAGGGTGAAAACTCCCAGGTATCCGAGGGGAGATTACGAAGAGGCTTATATTGTAACAAGACCGAATAACCTTTTTCCTTTGAATCTTTACAGTCATCAGCTGGGCCAGTACACTCCTCCAATAAACTTCCATCTGGATTAATACAACATGCGTCCTACCAGCACAACTTTATCAAGACTGGCACACCGTCTTCCGCTAAGCCGGAAGACGGTGTGCCATGCACTCCCAATAGGAAATTAACACATAATTTCATTCTCAACTGTCTCTTAGGTGTCGTGGGTGAGGAACCGGGACGCACATATCCTGTCAGTGGACCGATACACCTTCATCACGGACGCCCGCTTCGCTGCGTGGCACGAGGCGGTGACCAACACGTGGACGCTTCAGGTGAAGTTTGTGGAGGAGATGGACGCCGGCCGCTACGAGTGTCAAGTGTCCACGGAGCCTAAAATGAGTCACTTCGTCCAGCTCACCGTCGTTAGTGAGTATTGGGTGAAGGGCGGTGAGAGGGAGAGAAGAACCAATATTTATATATATATATATATATATATATATCAAACTGAAAACTCACACCCCAGAAGTGACTCGAACCCATACTCCCAGAAGCAACGCATCTGGTATGTACAAGACGCCTTAATCCACTTGACCATCACGACCGGACATAATGAGGTGATAGCCGAGGCTATTTGAACCACCCCACCGCCGGCACTCGGATAGTTATCTTGGGCATAGCATTTTACCAAATCACCTCATTCTTTGGGGCAACACGTGAGGAACACAAATGCGAACAAGCCTGAATGGTCCCCAGGACATATGCAACTGAAAACTCACACCCCAGAAGTGACTCGAACCCATACTCCCAGAAGCAACGCATCTGGTATGTACAAGACGCCTTAATCCACTTGACCATCACGACCGGACATAATGAGGTGATAGCCGAGGCTATTTGAACCACCCCACCGCCGGCACTCGGATAGTTATCTTGGGCATAGCATTTTACCAAATCACCTCATTCTTTGGGGCAACACGTGAGGAACACAAATGCGAACAAGCCTGAATGGTCCCCAGGACATATGCAACTGAAAACTCACACCCCAGAAGTGACTCGAACCCATACTCCCAGAAGCAACGCATCTGGTATGTACAAGACGCCTTAATCCACTTGACCATCACGACCGGACATAATGAGGTGATAGCCGAGGCTATTTGAACCACCCCACCGCCGGCACTCGGATAGTTATCTTGGGCATAGCATTTTACCAAATCACCTCATTCTTTGGGGCAACACGTGAGGAACACAAATGCGAACAAGCCTGAATGGTCCCCAGGACATATGCAACTGAAAACTCACACCCCAGAAGTGACTCGAACCCATACTCCCAGAAGCAACGCATCTGGTATGTACAAGACGCCTTAATCCACTTGACCATCACGACCGGACATAATGAGGTGATAGCCGAGGCTATTTGAACCACCCCACCGCCGGCACTCGGATAGTTATCTTGGGCATAGCATTTTACCAAATCACCTCATTCTTTGGGGCAACACGTGAGGAACACAAATGCGAACAAGCCTGAATGGTCCCCAGGACATATGCAACTGAAAACTCACACCCCAGAAGTGACTCGAACCCATACTCCCAGAAGCAACGCATCTGGTATGTACAAGACGCCTTAATCCACTTGACCATCACGACCGGACATAATGAGGTGATAGCCGAGGCTATTTGAACCACCCCACCGCCGGCACTCGGATAGTTATCTTGGGCATAGCATTTTACCAAATCACCTCATTCTTTGGGGCAACACGTGAGGAACACAAATGCGAACAAGCCTGAATGGTCCCCAGGACATATGCAACTGAAAACTCACACCCCAGAAGTGACTCGAACCCATACTCCCAGAAGCAACGCATCTGGTATGTACAAGACGCCTTAATCCACTTGACCATCACGACCGGACATTATGTCCGGTCGTGATGGTCAAGTGGATTAAGGCGTCTTGTACATACCAGATGCGTTGCTTCTGGGAGTATGGGTTCGAGTCACTTCTGGGGTGTGAGTTTTCAGTTGCATATGTCCTGGGGACCATTCAGGCTTGTTCGCATTTGTGTTCCTCACGTGTTGCCCCAAAGAATGAGGTGATTTGGTAAAATGCTATGCCCAAGATAACTATCCGAGTGCCGGCGGTGGGGTGGTTCAAATAGCCTCGGCTATCACCTCATTATGTCCGGTCGTGATGGTCAAGTGGATTAAGGCGTCTTGTACATACCAGATGCGTTGCTTCTGGGAGTATGGGTTCGAGTCACTTCTGGGGTGTGAGTTTTCAGTTGCATATGTCCTGGGGACCATTCAGGCTTGTTCGCATTTGTGTTCCTCACGTGTTGCCCCAAAGAATGAGGTGATTTGGTAAAATGCTATGCCCAAGATAACTATCCGAGTGCCGGCGGTGGGGTGGTTCAAATAGCCTCGGCTATCACCTCATTATGTCCGGTCGTGATGGTCAAGTGGATTAAGGCGTCTTGTACATACCAGATGCGTTGCTTCTGGGAGTATGGGTTCGAGTCACTTCTGGGGTGTGAGTTTTCAGTTGCATATGTCCTGGGGACCATTCAGGCTTGTTCGCATTTGTGTTCCTCACGTGTTGCCCCAAAGAATGAGGTGATTTGGTAAAATGCTATGCCCAAGATAACTATCCGAGTGCCGGCGGTGGGGTGGTTCAAATAGCCTCGGCTATCACCTCATTATGTCCGGTCGTGATGGTCAAGTGGATTAAGGCGTCTTGTACATACCAGATGCGTTGCTTCTGGGAGTATGGGTTCGAGTCACTTCTGGGGTGTGAGTTTTCAGTTGCATATGTCCTGGGGACCATTCAGGCTTGTTCGCATTTGTGTTCCTCACGTGTTGCCCCAAAGAATGAGGTGATTTGGTAAAATGCTATGCCCAAGATAACTATCCGAGTGCCGGCGGTGGGGTGGTTCAAATAGCCTCGGCTATCACCTCATTATGTCCGGTCGTGATGGTCAAGTGGATTAAGGCGTCTTGTACATACCAGATGCGTTGCTTCTGGGAGTATGGGTTCGAGTCACTTCTGGGGTGTGAGTTTTCAGTTGCATATGTCCTGGGGACCATTCAGGCTTGTTCGCATTTGTGTTCCTCACGTGTTGCCCCAAAGAATGAGGTGATTTGGTAAAATGCTATGCCCAAGATAACTATCCGAGTGCCGGCGGTGGGGTGGTTCAAATAGCCTCGGCTATCACCTCATTATGTCCGGTCGTGATGGTCAAGTGGATTAAGGCGTCTTGTACATACCAGATGCGTTGCTTCTGGGAGTATGGGTTCGAGTCACTTCTGGGGTGTGAGTTTTCAGTTGCATATGTCCTGGGGACCATTCAGGCTTGTTCGCATTTGTGTTCCTCACGTGTTGCCCCAAAGAATGAGGTGATTTGGTAAAATGCTATGCCCAAGATAACTATCCGAGTGCCGGCGGTGGGGTGGTTCAAATAGCCTCGGCTATCACCTCATTATGTCCGGTCGTGATGGTCAAGTGGATTAAGGCGTCTTGTACATACCAGATGCGTTGCTTCTGGGAGTATGGGTTCGAGTCACTTCTGGGGTGTGAGTTTTCAGTTGCATATGTCCTGGGGACCATTCAGGCTTGTTCGCATATATATATATATATATATATATATATATATATATATATATATATATATATATATATATATATATATATTCCCCCCTTCCCCGTCCTATCGTCCTCCCCTCCATTCCCCCCCTACACCGTTTCCTTGTCCTCCCCACCATCCCCCCATTCCTCCGTCCCCTCGTCCTCCTACCCATTCCCCACACCACAGTCCTCTCATCCTCCCCACAATCTTACACTTCCCCCGTCCCCTCGTCCTCTCTACCATTTCCCCTTCCCCCGTCCCCTCGTCCTCCCCACCATTCCCCACTCCCTCGTCCGATGCATTCCCAAATGATCTGATATTCCCATCAGAGAATTGGGAACATCAAATGATCTGAAGTTCCCATCACTGAAATATAAAAAAAACCAGTCAGACTAGAAATAAAAATGAATTTTGGAGAACTGATTTTTCATTTACCATTGACAGTGACAAGAAACATTGAGAAAATTCGTGTTAGAATTATTAATCTTACCTTTTACTATTAAAGTTGCAGTATTGATGTTAATTTTATCTGGAGTGTGACAGAGTCGTCCCAGTGACGATTCCCCTCCGCCTTTACTAGTAGAAGGAAAGCACAGGCCTAATACCCCGCCTCGAGGAAGTCTTTAAATGTGAAATATTCTGCTATGGGTCCATAGATGTTTTGCATTAGTTTGTAAATGTGAAATCAAATATTGACTGCAGAGTTTGAGATTGAAAGGCAGGAAGAATGAGATAATAGGAGGGAGGGAGGAAGAATGGAAGGGAGGAACAATAAGAGGGAAGGAGGGAGGAAGAGGGAGGAGGGAAACAGAAACGCATAAATACAGAAACAAAAAAGCAGACAGAGACCCGGCCACCACCAGATACCCCATCTAGCAAGTATCAGTGACAAAATCCTGGAAATACACACCAACATAAGTTCGAATCCTCATCACGGATCTTATGGATTTTCACACTGACACATTACCTTAGTGTGATTTCTCTCTGTGTATTGAAGAGGAACGTCTGAGGAAGAACATTTCTAGACGATAGAGCCAAAGTGCATGGGGGGGGGGGAATTGTGTGAAACCATGGTTCGTCTTTAGGGAAGCCTCGGGAATCCTCGAGGGTTCAGTAGAACTTCAGGTTGCAATCTTTTTTCATGTTGTGGCCTAGTTGTTTGGGGCTTGTGTGCCTTGGAATACTCAGCGCATAGGTTCGAATCCTAATCACGGCATATACGGATTTTCTAATATTATTATTACACAGCGAAATCACATTAACGATAATCACATTATTAACTAGTAATATTAATTATTAATTATAAATCCCATTAACGTAATCAATTAACAAATCCACAAGAGACCTGAAGAGGGATCGAACCTATGTGCAGAGTGTTTCCAGACGCGCTCTAGTCATCTGTACCAAACTTTGACAAGGACGATTTATTATTATTATTATTATTATTATTATTATTTTATTATTATAATCATTATTATTTCTTATTTTTCACGCTATAATAACATCCTATTCCTTTTCGTCGTTTATATTCTTCTTTTTATCCATTTATTCCTCTTTTTTCCTTCTTGTTTCCATATATATGATTGTCTTCTTAATCAGTGCTAAAGATTCAGCGAGCGTAATTGGCCACCAGCAATATCCTGGAGAGGTCTCGTATAAAAATATCGACCAGCATCGGTACCAGAACCATCAAAAACTCCTTAAAAGCCGAAAACTATTATATCCATTTTTCTCGGACAGATAGGAGAGACAAAGTTTAAATAGAGCTCTCGTGGATTCTGCAGGAAATGGAGGAGCAGGAGATCCATGGGAGAGAATTCGTTGGCATTAATCCCCGGTCAGACAGCTATGGTTGGCGGAGACCCAAAATCACACCGAGTTAGAAATTGCAAAATTCCTTTTTGGTTTTACAGTGATCTACTGCTCTATGAACTGTGCCTATTTTTTTTTATTTGTGGAATGGTTTTGTGTGTGTGTGTGTGTGTGTGTGTGTGTGTGTGTGTGTGTGTGTGTGTGTGTGTGTGTGTGTGTGTGTGTGTGTGTGTGTGGGTGTGTGTACTCACCTATTTCTGCTTGCAGGATTGAGCATTGACACTTGGATCCCGCCTTTCTAGCCATCGGTTGTTTACACCAATGTCTCCTGTCCCATTTCCCTATCATATCTAGTCTTAAAATAATGAAAAGAGTTTGCTTCCACAACCTGTTCCTTAAGTGCATTCCATTTTTCCACTAACTGCACGCTAAAAGAATACTTTCTAACATCTCTGTGACTCATCTGAGTTTCCAGCTTCCACCCATGTCCCCTCGTTCTGTTATTATTGCGTGTGAACATTTCATCTATCTCCACTTTGTCAATTCCCCTGAGTATTTTACGTTCCTCTCATATCCTCTCTCTCCCTTCGTTTTTCTAGTGTCGTAAGGTTCAATTTTTTCAGACGCTCTTCATATCCCATCCCTCGTAACTTTACATTTACTCTGGGATAAACATCGTAGCAAACTTCAGAACCTTTTCAAGTTTCCTTATGTGTTTCTTCAGGTGGGAACTCCATGATGGTGCGGCATACTCTAAGACTGGTCTCACGTAGGCAGTGTAAAGTGCCCTAAAAGCCTCCTCACTTAGGTTTTTGAATGAAGTTCTCACTTTCGCCAGTGTTGAGTACGCTGCTGTCGTTATCCTATTTATATGCGCGTCAGGAGTTAGGTTAGGTGTTACGTCCATTCCCAGGTCTCTTTCTTGAAATCATTACAGTTAGGCAGTTCCCTTTCATTGTGTACTGTCTCTTTGGCCGCCTATCATCTGATCCCATTTCCATAACTTTACATTTACTCCTGTTGAACTCGAGTAGCCCTTTCTGGCTACTGGAGTGTGTGTGTGTGTGTGTGTGTGTGTGTGTGTGTGTGTGTGTGTGTGTGTGTGTGTGTGTGTGTGTGTGTGTGTGTGTGTGTGTGTGTGTGTGTGCGTGTGTGTGTGAGTTTTGGTGTAAGCATGTGTGTTTAATTGTGTTTGAATCCACTATTTGTGCTTGCTTGGAAAAAGCAACAGTTCTTTAGGCCACACTGCCAACCTTCAAGAAAAAAATGAACTGGTTTGTGTCTATGTGAGTGGTTTCTTTCTTGGAAGTTTGCTTAACGGAGTTGGAACTATGTTTGTGCCAGAATGTATATATGGATGAATGTTTGTGTGAGCTCTAGTCTTATGTTTCCTGATTTGTTTTTTTATTTAATTTATCTGAGTTCTTAAACAGTGTACTCACTCGCATTTGTATATATTTATTGTTATGTTAATATGAAAAGGAATGTGTCTGTCGGCCGCTCTCCTTCCAAAGTATGAGGCTAAACATTTATTGCTTGCCTCACTAAACGTTTGCAGGGTGACTGGTGGGGTGTTGTGGGATCGCTCTCTGGGGGATCGGTGCTAGGCACGATTCCCTTCTTGCAGCGAGTGCGACGCGGTTGGCTCCAATAGCCAACCCTCAAGTACTTTATAATGTCGGTGTAAGGATGACGTGGAAACCCCGTCTTCTGATGATATATATATTTGTATTCTGGAGTCTCACAACACTTAAATGCATAACATTTTTGGGGGAACACCAGCGGTCCATAACTAAATTAATGATGAGAAACATAGGTATATGCAGTTGCGGGTTCCGAACTATACAAAACGAAACTCTTTTTTTTGTGTATAGGGACATCTGATAGAAGCTCGTAGGGATCTAACCTAACTCAACCAATACTAACCTAACTTAACCCAAACCAACGAAAACCTAAATCACCCGAGCCCAATGTACCCTAACCTTAAGTTAATACATCTTAGCCTAACATTAAATACAGTTTTGACAAACAGAAAACGAGCTTTATCGAACGTCTTATGTACTAAACAACCATATCCAGGGTGTAGTTGGCGCCCTTCATTTACTTGATAGTCAGTGAGGGAAGATAAGACGTAATGCTTGATCTAACGCTTTGCACTCTGGTGGATCTTAACACTTAAGAGGTGCAACCTTCTGGGATCGATCTAGAAATCACCTGGTATCAGTATACAAATGCACACAAAATTCAAATGAAAAACACAAACGACTATATATAAATACAAACAAACAATTCCAGAATTACGTCCACAGATTCATTTAAAAAATTGCTGGAAAGGTGGCTGAGGACCTTTTCTAACTTTAAGAACCACAGATAAAATCTTGAGTAGTCAGCCTAAATTACGGCCCATTCAAACCCCCCCCCCCACCTCTCAAAGCTCCCCTGACCCTCAAATCCCCCCCCCCTACCTACGGCTCAAAAATTCTGCGACAAAATCACAAGACCAACCTCAGGTACAGCCATAATTCTTAGGCCCAGTCTTGTTATGATATTCAAAGTTTAACCCCAGAGGCGGTGTTGTGGAAACTTATAACTGGGAGCTTTTTCAATAGTTAAATTGTATTTCCGTGGAATGGGATCGGGAGGCAGGGGGGGGGGAAGGGATGATTCAGTGTGTATGTTTGTACCTGTGTATGTGTGTGTTTGGGGGGGGGGGTATTCACCTGGTTGTTGTGCTAGCCGGGGTTGAGCTCTGCTCTTTCGGCCCGCCTCTCAACTGTCATTCATTCAACAGATACTAACTACTAACTATTTTTTTCCCCCTTACACACACTCTCCCACCAGGAAACAGCCCGTAACAGCTGTCTAACACCCAGGTACCTATTTACTGCTAGGCAACAGGGGCATCAGGGTGAAAGAAACTCTGCCCATCTATTTCCGCCGGCGGCCGGGATCGAACCAATTGTTTAACAGAAGACATACTACCAGTGCATTAAAAAAACTTAGAAGTAATAATACTTTGTGATTCAAAGTCTGCTCTTCGAGCAACCGAAAACTCCTGGAAGATCGACAGCAAGAAGGTCATACTACCAATTATAAATGACCTAATCGCTGCACAGAGCAAAGGGTTTCGAATCTCCTTTGTATGAATACCATGACACATTAATATAACCCATCTTAATGACACAGACATTGCAGCCAAATTAGCGTGTAACAAAGATGAAGTTGAATTAGACCTAGTTGTCCCCATCTCTGCTGTCAAAACTATATTGTTAAAACACTCAGGTATGATAGGAGAGAAATTACTGACTCCCAACGACCTGAAAGCATATGTATAAAAAGTTATAATTTGTTCAGATCTGAAACCTATGTTTCAGCACAAAACTTTCACCAGAATGTGCGACACAGTGGTTGCCAGGATTAGGTTGGTTCAACGTTACCTGTGGCAGGTGGCTACAGGTGACGGATCTCCCAATCCTGAGCACTCCAAGTGCAAACTCTGTGAGCTGGAACTGGGGGCATGAGCTTGCGCACTAAATCACTGAATGCCCAGTTATCTGACCATTCAGACTCGTAGGCATGAGGTACCTGGAGCTTTCCAATTTCTTTATTCACCCCTGTGTTCATGATGATATCCTCATAATGCACCCAGAGTCTGCACCCATAGCCAGTGCAGACTACTGATCATTTGCCTCTGTATGACTATCCTGCCTGTGTGATGGGGGTTTTAGCATCACGTAGCCAGCTTTTTGATACGTTGTACTCCCCTGCATATAGTCTAGGGTAGCTGCACAAATGCAGATGTACCTAAATGTGTTAATAAAAAAAAGTCTCATTCTAAAGGCCGCCATTTGGTTACAGTGATGGAGAGAATGTATAGGGAAAAATGGTTACATTAATAGGGGAAAGATAGTAGGGGAAGACAATAGATATTTGACTTTGAGGTAAGGGAAGATAGTGGTGTTGGAAAAGGTGGAAGGTGGGTTGTTGAGACAGTGTAGGGGGAATGTGAGTGGAGATGGATGTGGGCGATGTGTGGATATCGGGGACTAGGGAGTACGGAGACTCCTGTACAAAGCTGAGTGGTGTGTGGAGAAGGGCAGGATTGTGCGTGGGCATGACTTAGGTACCGGACCGACCCGGACACGCATGGGTACCACATCAAGTGAATGTGTACATATGAATGCTTAATGAGTCGTCACTTCGTCCAGATCCATCAACCCGTCTACGTTTTCTCATTAACAGCTCCGCGAGTCAGCATTCCAGGAGGGTCTGAGCTTCATGTACGGAGCGGTAGTACTGTAACAATCAAGTGCGTCGTCAGCCACGCGCTACACCCTCCCAACTACGTCTTCTGGTACCACGTGAGTAGCAAGTAACCTGCTCTTGTCTCAGTGTCTCGGAGTCCAGAACAGTTGAAGTTTGGTGTAATAAGGTTCCATGTTTTCTGCAGTTTGAGTGAAAATCGTGATGTTGAAAATACATTTTCTTGGTTACAAGTGTTCAAAGAGAATCTGTACCCATTTCAGGTGCATTAGTTATAAAATCCCTTATCACTTATTAGTTTATGCACTCATGTACCCACACACACGCACACACACACACACACACACACACACACACACACACACACACACACACACACACACACACACACACACACACACACACACACACACACACACATCTCATTTCATCTGGGAGAGGAAATTCTTCAGGAGTCAGAGAAGGAAAAAGACTTGGGGGTTGATATCACGCCAGACCTGTCTCCTGCAGCACATATCAAGCGGATAACATCAGCGGCATATGCCAGGCTGGCCAACATACGAACGGCATTCAGAAATTTGTGTAAAGAATCATTCAGAACTTTGTATACCACATATGTCAGGCCAATCCTGGAGTATGCAGCCCCAGCATGGAGTCCATATCTAGTCAAGGATAAGACTAAACTGGAAAAGGTTCAAAGGTTTGCTACCCGACTAGTACCCGAGCTGAGAGGTATGAGCTACGAGGAGAGACTACGGGAATTAAACCTCACTTCGCTGGAAGACAGAAGAGTTAGGGGGGACATGATCACCACATTCAAGATTCTGAAGGGAATTGATAGGGTAGATAAAGACAGTCTATTTAACACAAGGGGAACACGCACAAGGGGACTCAGGTGGAAACTGAGTGCCCAAATGAGCCACAGAGATATTAGAAAGAACTTTTTTAGTGTCAGAGTGGTTGACAAATGTAATGCAGTAGGGGGTGATGTGGTGGAGGCTGACTCCATACACAGTTTCAAGTGTAGATATGACAGAGCCCGATAGGCTCAGGAATCTGTACACCTGTTGATTGACGGTTGAGAGGCGGGACCAAAGAGCCAGAGCTCAACCCCCGCAAACACAACTAGGTGAGTACACACACACACACACACACACACACACACACACACACACACACACACACACACACACACACACACACACACACACACACACACACAATGAAACTTTCAGTGGAAACAGGAGGCCAGACACAGGATACAGAATACTATTAATACAGAATACAGGATACTATTTGTTTGTGGACAAAATATTAGTTAGCAGTTAGTAACAGTTGATTGATTAACAGTTGAGAGGCGGGCCGAAAGAGCAGAGCTCAACCCCCGCAAGCACAACTAGGTGAATACAACTAGGTGAATACACACCCTCACTCACACACACCACGTAACGAAACTGTATCACAGATCCATAACAAAGGTATATCATCATCTGCATATGCCATCTTCACCGATAGAAATCTTGCTTTTAGAAACATGAATTCAGATTCATAGAATCATTTAGTTCCCAGTATATAAGACATTTCACTCCACTCTCACATTATGCAGCACAAACTTGGAACTATTGTATCATAAAATATGAATTAAATCTAGAGAACGTTAAGAGTTTTGCTATTAACATTATCATAGTCAAGAAGTTGGAGTTAGGAGGAAATAGTACAGGAATTAGGTATCACGTTGGAAGACTAAAGAGTTAAGGAAAGCTTAAGTACCAAGTACAAAATCTTCCGTGCAAATAAGGAATATGGGTAAATATTATTTAACATTGGTGTTCTCGAACTATGGGATCCAGATATAAACAATGCGCAGATTAGTAGCCGACATTTTTAAGGAATTTGTTCAGTAGCAGAAAAGAAGTTACATGATGGATGCAGATTCTATGGAGTTTCAAATGATATAGCCAAATAGGATCAGATTCTGAACCCTAGTTGATTAAAAGAGAAGAGGCATTGTCAAATATCTGGAGTTACACCCTCCTCAGGCACAAAGAGCACAATCACAAACCCTCAAACAAAGAGCCTCAAACACAAACACAAGCCCTCAAACAAAGAGCCTCAAACACAAACACAAGCCCTCAAACAAATAGCCTCAAGCACAATCACAAGCCCTCAAACAAAGAGCTTCACGCACAAGCACAATACAAGCACGCATACAAGCACATCACCCCCCACAATAAACACTACTAACATCGTTTACCTATCAACAATTGACCACAGGAGGACGCGAGGGTACCAGAGAGCTCGTGGACAGGGGTGGAACAGACTCCCCTGACGCGCGTGACAGAAGAAGCGAGCGTGGCGGCCCTCACTATCGCCTCCGTCACCCACGCTCACGCTGGTAACTACACTTGCGCCCCCGCGGCCCTCAAGTCCGTCTCCGTCACTCTCCATGTCCTCAATGGTAAGAATTCTCTGTGTACAATTCCACGATTTCTTTTGTAGATTCATTTTGCAAAATATTTTATGAGTTGAACGATGCTGATTGCTTAGCGCTCACTTTAGCGTTAATGTTATGTTTACTACAAGCATTCGGATTAACGATTGAGGAGATAAAGTATAGGGATTATTATTTGGGGCTCTGAAGAAAGCATTCTATTAGCTTAGCTCAATGGAAAAATGGTGTTTTGCTCTGGCAGATATCTTGTATCGCGCATGAATGAGACATTAGTTAAGCCATGGCTCAATGATGCCCTTGTTTTGGTTGATATTTTTTAAATGACCGGATGGGGAGAGGGAAAGAGAGAACTAAGAGGACTATGTAAGTCTCCTGTGTGTGGTATACAGGGCATCGTTTAATCACTGCAGGGGCTGAGTACTGGAAGCAACATCTTCCTAATTAGTTCGTTGTATATATCTGTTTGTGTTTATGGATATAATTCTTTTTAATCCGAGGCTGTGGAAGATTTGTTATGAAGGCTTTAGTGTGCTGTTCTCTTTTAGATAGAGATTTTTGTTTTACGTTTAATTAAGTCATGTAAGGGTTAATGGACTCCAAATTATTATTTGTTGATATGTTTATTTAATTATTATTCATTTTCTTTTATTCAATTTGAAACTGGAAACATTGATGAATAGTCTAGCATTATTTAAAACTTATCTTTAAAACTTTAAAATCTTATATTTCTGGCAGGATTGGTATTCAAAGAGGTACTGTTTATTTTTAGGACAGATTTTTTACCATTTTGGATTTTTTGAGTCATGATCTTATATTCCACTCAGGTGAGCGTCCAGCAGCCATGCAGCACGGGTCCAACCCAGCGTGGTCACCAAGCCCTCACCTCTATCATGTTATCTGCGCCTTCGTCGCCTCCCACCTCGCCTCCTTCAGGCTCCTTCTCCTGCCGAGCCTCTGTTATACTCTGCACCGGTGATGGCAACATTCGGTGTTGCTGTCTTTGTAAAGCCTAATTTGCTTCTGTATTTTGTATTCAATGGTGCAACGATTTTTTTTTGTAATCTTGTATTATACACTGTATGGACAGATTATTTCTTTCTTCCTCTTACCGATACGTGGGTCAGGTGGTGGAGAAAAAAATAGCCCTCTCACTTAGAAAGTATATTTTACGTGATGTTTGTATATATTGTATCGAATACTTCCAAAATTAATACGAAGCCAACAAAGTATGTCGTATGGCTACGAAGGAACTTTGGTAATCAATGTATATAATGTCATAATAATATTCAAGGTCCGCTGTTTTGTCAAGCTTGTATGTTATAATATCCTGCGATCATAACTAAGCTGAGGACCACGTGCTGCTAAACGCACGGGGTCGGCAGCTTCCGAAAGTACGCTTGTGTCAAATCCTGTTCTTAACATACACACAAATTCTTCCCTAGAGGAGAACAAACATATATATTTCCAACATGCTCGCAATTCGCCAAGAATACGAAAAGAACAATTCCTATGATACACCATGTGTAACATTCTATGAGATTTTCAGTGAGAATAACAGCATTCATTCAAGAATATAGAAGGTGATATATCACTATTGTGAATTAAAAAAGTATACATTATTGGTTATTTTTCAGTGTAATCACGTTAAATTTTAATTCTAATATGGCGTATGTGAATGTTCCACACCAGTATTTTTTTTTTTTTAGTTTTTTCGAAGAATACATTAATCGATATAGGACTCAGGGAGAGCATACTACCAGATTTCCATAATGAGAGACCTAAACCACATTTGTTGGCATATCTAAATAGCCACAATTAACAAATAAGATGTTGATATGTATATATATAAGTGTGAAACATACCGAAAAAAACATTATTCATATTACATATATATACCATTCTTGTTTCGCTTCCATACCATCCCAAGGGTCGTAATGTTCAGATGGTCACTAATTATATGTGTTTGACATACGCCTTTACCAGCAAAGTATCTGATAGAATGCATGGCAACATACGTGGCAAATATTTGTCGTTTGATACATTCATCTGAGTTATGAAACTGGGATAATTGTTCGTCTGGATAATTGGGTAGATACCTGTGGCATGAGCAGCAGTTTGTAGTCTAATGCGAGTGGTTAATCAGGAATGTTTCAGATAGATGTTCTATGTTGGATTCTTGGAAGACAGCATTTGCGCTAAATGGGATATGTGGTATATAGCAGGCATCCTACGTGGACAATATGAACGATAATAGATTGCGTATAACTGCAATACGCAATAAAATTGCGTATAACAGGTACCCTAATTGAGACAGGGAAATGAAAACAGATATGTGTTTTCTTTACCCTTTAAGTATGTGCTGTATTGTATATGTGGTATATATGGAAAATTACAGATACCATATATATGGTAAATTGAAGCTAACCTGTATCTTCTACAGGATATGTTACAGTAAATAGCTGATTTTTTAGTTAACCACTATAAGTTAGCATGAGTACATAACATAACGAAAATGTTTTTATTATATATACAAAATTGTTCGATTTTTAATTGTTCAACTGTTTTAATTCAGTTGAGAAGAAAAAAAAGTATTTTTTTTTGTCAAAAATCAATATGATCATATGTCAACTCAATTTATAAATATTTACCATAATGATGTTATCGTCTTTTGATAATAATGTATGATAAAATATGATTTTTTATATCTTTTGTGTTTCTGGGAATTATCTGAATTACGAGAAACTGTTTAATTCTAAAGAAAAGACCTAGAATTAAGCCATGAAAGATATGTTAAAGTCTTGCCTATATATTGTTATCGTGAGAGGCTGAAAGTTCTGAAGTTGGCATTCAATCACGATTTTTCTCAATATTTATTCTGTTTTAATTCATTTGAGAAGGGAACAACAAAATTTATGTCTCCAAAAGCTCAATTATTAATTTTATTGCACTTAAGTAGTGACGCAAAGGGATGTGTTTCGTTAACTAAAGAACATTTTTGGAAAAAAGGGAGAGCAATTCACTTTTTGCAATGACGCAATGAACACTTTTCGCATCAACCAATTTACATCTTGTAACCATTAAACACATAATAAAGCAAGAACAACAAAAAAAAAAATACAAAAGGACGGGGGTGGTAGGAGAAAAGCACACAGAAACTGTATCAGAGGGGACCTAAATATTCCCTCTAATGCGTTATGTGTGGTTTCTTTCTAGGCTAAGGGTCCCCTTCTTCCAGCCAGAGGTGGTACTCCCTTCCCATATATATATATGTATATATATATATATATATATATATATATATATATATATATATATATATATATATATATATATATATATATATATATATATATATATATATTTGTCCTGGGGACCATTCAGGCTTGTTCGCATATATATATATATATATATATATATATATATATATATATATATATATATATATATATATATACATATTTATATATATATGTCGTACCTAGTAGCCTGAACGCACTTCTCAGCCTACCATGCAAGGCCCAATTTGCCTAATAACTTTTTGCAATGACGTATCAACCAATATATACGACCAATATATACGACCAATTTTTGCAATGACGTACCAACCAATATATACAATATATATTTATATATATAAGGAAGGGAGTACCACCTGTGGCTGGAAGAAGGGGGGACCCATAGCCTTGGAGGAAACCACGCATAACGCATTAGAGGGAATGTTGAGATCGATCCCCTCTAATACAGTTTCTGTGTGCTTTTCTCCTCCACCCCATAGCTCTAAAGAAGACAAACCAATTACTATACTGAACCAGTCCCTCAACAGAGAAATAAGGATAAGCAACACTGACATAATCGACAGATGCAGCAATAATACGAGATTAAACAACGCTGAAGCATTATATATAAATCATTCTCATCCATTTTTTTTAGCCAGCTGATGTAGGTACGCTAATACCATCTAGGACGTACAAGACGAAACAACTAGTTTACATCGCACCAATTGCCTCAGCAAATGAATGAAAGTGAAGGGGAAAATATGCACATTTCTCTCGACTGGCTAACACCTTACTAATCTTGATGCTACAAAGAATATATTTTGTCACCTTTGCCCATTTGATTTGCAACTTTTGTCCTCGCTCTCTGAAGACTTTGAAGTGTCTTTTTCAGTTTTTTCAGGTAAAGAACATGATAAATAATGAGAAGATATGTGCTAGAATCACTGATGCCACTCTAACGTGAACTGCATTTATTAGAAAGTAATTGCCACGATTATTAAAAAGAAAAACTCTATTGAACAGAGAAGTGTCTACTAAAAAGTTCAGAAAGTGGATATCCCCTTCCCCCCGTCCCATAAGCGAACTAAAATTAAGGGAATGTTGATGAGAATATCGACGGCAAGTATGGTAATCAGAAAGTATGGTTCACATTTGACAAATAACACATTAGTGTCGTTTACATAGGACAAAAAGTGTCGCTCAGAGTGTCGACTTTTACATTGAGAAAAACTCTGTTAAAGTGTAGGTGTCAAACACTGCAACCGTCGTTTGGTGGAAGTTCCCGTTTACCGTTAATAAAATATTATTGAACTAAGAAACAAAAAAATAGAAAAAATAGACGGATCCTTGAAATGTAACATTTTTCTCTGTTAATAAAATGTTTAATATCTTTCCAGAGATATTATGAAAAGTGTTGCGTTTACAAGCTAAGACATTTGTATGTATGTATATATGTATGTTGAAGTCAATAACCTTTCTTTCGGCTTCAGGGAGTTCTGGAGCACGAAGAAACACCATTATACTGTGTACATAGAGACAGATGTAATAATGAATAAATGGATACTTTTGTGTACTTTGGATGGTTTTATTTTCTTTTTCTATTCGCGAAACAAATATGAACTAACACTAATGATTGAAAGCCATTTAGAATATATTTTTAATATATATTGGCAGAAGGTAATAAACTCGTTTAGAAAATAGCTTTATCAATTATTGTGCAGCACATTCCTACCCTAAGGGTAGTAATGAAAATTTTTGTGGCACATAATGAGCTCCGATACTATACCCCAAAATTCATTTATCTAAGCAACTTAGTTAATTTAGTTCATTTATTATGCACCCCATACCCATCTTGTGGGCGGTAGTGGAACGGGTTACAGAGACCCATAATGGGCTCAGGGACTGAACCCCACAATTCATTTAGCTAAGCAAGTGACAATTTTGATGAACTAGTTACAAAATTCAATATAAGTCGTCACATCAACAATGGGTTCGAGATCAACCACAAGTACAGTTTCTAAATTAAGCAACAGACATATGTGAAGACCTAGTGTCACAATTTATATGTAAACAACTTATAACCTTGAATTTTTAGTTACTCAATTTAATGTATATTCATCTACAGTCCTTAGAGAAAAGGTTCAAATTAATTCCTAATACAAATAATATTATTATCAGATGAATTACAATATTATACATAAAATAAACATATATTTTTTTGGGTATTTCATTTAATTGTGACTGAAAATAAAGGAAAAGTTCAAAATATCATTCATGGAACATATGTCTACCGGAGGAGCCTCGGAGGAGGAATACATGTGAATGATATTGGCAGGGTGAACAGATGTGTATAACATGGATAAGGTAAACAAAATCTACAAAATATTCTTTGAACATTTGTTTAGTAAAAGATGAGAAAGAGAATAAAACTGTGAAAAAAAAGAATAACAATAAAAATGCAGATAATATAATTTTCTAAATTGGTGAGAGTAAAATTTAAAAATGACACACGGTATTTTTTCGTATGATTGTCAACAAATAAAGTAATATTTCAAGACCACAATTTAGAAAATGATAATATATGTATATATTCGATATAATTAAACAATAGACAAGTGTTTTCTAATTGTACGTTTTTATACTCAGATTTAAATTCCAAAGATATTTATCGAAGTCAAATCCTTTTATGATGACGTAAACTGCTTCAGCAATGTATGGGCGTTTCATTAAGTCCCATCTTTAACTAAAACGTTTTGGACGATTTCTTCTCATTGTGGTCAGAATTTTTACCTTATTCACAAACCGCGCTCGCGCGCGCGCGCGTGTGTGTGTGTGTGTGTGTGTGTGTGTGTGTGTGTGTATGTGTGTGTGTGTGTGTGTGTGTGTGTGTGTATGTGTGTGTGTGTGTGTGTGGTGTGTGTGTGTGTGTGTGTGTGTGTGTGTGTGTGTGTGTGTGTGTGTGTGTGTGTGTGTGTGTGTGTGAGAGAGAGAGAGAGAGAGAACTCACCTATTTTCCCAATTGCAGAAATCACACTCTCTGAGCCAGTGTTTAGTGATAATAAATGTTCCCAATACACAATATCAAGTTCCCATAATATATATGCTTTCAAGGATAATTCCATGAAACTCAGACTAGCGTGACTTTAAACCGAGCAAAAGACATGAACTTGAGGGGCTTTCTACACAATATAGTGTTGCAGAACTAAAACAATAAACATAATTTTCCACACCATAACGATATTCAATGACGTTTAATGAAGGTCTTAAAGGTCCTTGAGTAAGATAAAGAAATAATTTATGAACGCCTCCCCCACATATAATAACACCGAACCGAAAATAATGGCATTTCTCCTAAGAAACATAATTACTTAAAATTAGCGAATTAATCACAAAACACTTGACATAAATTCTTCTCCCCTACAATCAAAAGCAATAAGGAGTTTCAGACCAGAACGTGTGCACTCTTTACACAACGATGGAATGGCAAGAGGAAAAAGCTGAAAAAATCGAAAAGATGACGTTAAAAATAAAGAGTACATTCGAAATACTCCTTTATCCATTGGATACATAAAATTTCTTGCGTGGTGAGTCTTACAACATCCAAGTGAGCTAAGAAAATTACAATAAATTCCTCGGACAACAAAATAAATCACTCGAAGAAAACAATCAAACAGAAAGATAACACGCAATGATGCACCAATAGATCATCCTGCTCAGAGGATATCAGAGGTGGTCAATATTTTATTTTGTCGGGAGGTGCGAGTCTACAATATTAAAAAAAAAATCCTAGCATATATCAGCGCTCGCCTTATTTCTTTATACTTTTTCCTATAATACAATTGATTATTTATTATGAAACCAAATAAGTCTTTGAGAATGTAAAAAAAAAACCTACGAAACGCTTCTAAGCATTAGACCATCAACCATCAATAAAAAATGTATATATATATATATATATATATATATATATATATATATATATATATATATATATATATATATATATATGACAATGTCAGACCACGGAGGAAAAATGAAACAGGAATTTCCTTAAGTACTTTCGTATATTAATACATCTTCAGAAGGAGTTCTTCTGAAGATGTATTAATATACGAAAGTACTTAAGGAAATTCTTGTTTCATTTTTCCTCCGTGGTCTGACATTGTCACATTTTTAATCACGTGTTTATTTTCGTGATATACACACACACACACATATATATATATATATATATATATATATATATATATATATATATATATATATATATATATATATATATATATATATATTATTTGTATATATGAACCAGGCTGACTGAAACAAAAAGGTATATCAAGGACAGTTTGGCACAATAGAAATTAACGCATTTGTCGAGCCAATGATCTTTTGATATCAAAATTATGAGTTTGCCGTTATAAAATAAACAACTTTTAATCGTTACTGCATGTATTTCAGAATGTTTTATTTGTAAACACGAACGTGCTGCTCTTGCGTACGTTCGTGTGAGTGTACATGTGTTTGTGTGTGTGGTGGGTCCGTCAGCTCATAATTTCCCGCCGGCATTTCGGGTACACAATAAAGACATAATGAAGACGGCCAGCTACTACCGCGCCAGATATTAATCGCTGGGATTTCTGCGCCTGGGAAATATTTGTTGTCTCGTTTGATTGCACTTGCAACCCGAGAGAGGCGTGATGTGTGCCTCGCTGTAACTTCCAGACCCTCTGTTCATTTGTTATAGATATTAAAACAACTCTGGAGTGTGTAAGGTAGAGAGAAAGGTGAGAAATGGGGAGAGGAATATTTTCCTGCTTGTGTTGTTCTTAGTTTTTACATTTTTATCGACGAAAACATAGATTATTTTTTATTAGTGAGAAAGAAAGTGAAAAACAAAGACTGGCA